TGTCTCTGATTGCTGGCCTGCCAGAGTAAAACAATCTGACAGTGACAGAGTAAAACAATCAGCAATGGCTAATGGTTAAAGCACATTAGAAGCGTTCACTAATTAAAATCTGTTGAATCTCTGTAAGTCTGTATTTACGGTGGGTAAATCCATATTTAAGGGTCATTAGCATTGCAAAAGTGTATCTGAGGAAAAAACACATGCAGTTCTTTAACAGAACATCTTAAAATTTTCCTCAGCTCTCTGAAATAAAAGGGTTTGGTTTACATAAGGCAACAATAGGTACATAAAGCAAAAAGAAACAGTGATTACGTTGTTGGGCCAGATTATATAAAACTGCAATTTTATTGTAATTAGGACAACAGTGACTTGGACTACAATAGTGGCTTTCTTATAAAAATGGCACCATTCAAATTTATAGTCTCTGGCTAAAATAGTTTGTTGTATCATTGACAAAGAAACAAACACAAGCCAAATGCAGTCAAAATTAAACACAAACAAAAACCATAGCAATTTATTTGCTGAACAGAACCCAGAATTTTCCAAGAGCATTTACTTTATAAATTCCCTTCCCTGCAAACTTTCAGCTTTTTCAATGCAAAGCTTTTTTATCTTTAAAATTTTAAATGCATTATGCTTGCAAAAAATATTTATGTACATGTAGTTTATAACTGCAGTGTCAGTAATGGAGTAAAATCCTGTTTAAATATTGGCAATCCAAAGCTTGGACAGTTCTGGTTTGGAGGTTGGCTAAAAACAGCCATGGTGACTGTGAGCTCCTTCTTTCTGCATTGCTTTTCACCATCAGGAATCTCTCAGTTCTCCAAAACTTATTTTTGCCTAGGTTCAGTCCTGTGGGAGTGGGATTGGTTGCTTCATGTGAACTCTCAGCACATTGAGGAGAACCAGGGCAGCACTGACTTATCACCATCACCTGCAGCTGCACAGGGGACAGGGTTTGCTCCTGAATATACTGATTATTGCCAATGTGAACAACGTAATGTGGTGTGTTTCACACCTGCAGAAAATTTGACTCAAGGCATAAAGCAAAAAAAAAAAAAAAAAATAATCATCAAATGAAAGGTGATAAAATTTAAACTATGCCAAAGCTTAACTAATTTCAGTAGTGGAAGCAATTTCTTTAATTTCTGTTTCATGATCGCTCGCATCTTCCCTAAACAATTTTCATCAGTAAGATTGTTGGGAGAAAATTACTGGGTTTGACAGGTCTCAAAAGTGTGTGATGGTTGGAAATGAAGTGCTGAGTGGCAGAAATTGGCTGGGGAAAAATGGATTTCTAGGAGGCAGGAGAGTATTTCAGTTGTCCATTCCCTTAATTAATTTTATTAGGTGAGATTATAATCACAATTCAAGTGACCTGTAAGGGAAAGGAAAAGACAATTATGCCTTTCCCCCTGCCTTATTTGTACTGTAACTGGAAATACTGACACACGTTACCCATGTATTTTTAATACATTTATAAAATTCAGTGGAACTTGGGGTCTCAATAAGTGATCGAAATATTTTATATCACAAGAAGAAAACTTTGGTAGCTTAGCAGCAGGATTAGAAGCAATGCTAGACACTGATTAACTCTTTTTATTAGGGTGTATTCAACTTTAGTATCTAATGAGCACTTAGGATAAAGAATGTGCTTATCAAAGAATCAGCATATCCATTCAAGTCTGGGAATCTTGAAATAAATATCTATAGAAAAACTTCAGGAATTCTCAAGTGAAGTAAGATAAGAATAGAAATTATATATCAAATCTTTCTAAACAAGCCATGTAATTATTTCTGAAGGCCTTTGAAATGAGAGCCAGCTAGGAAAATCAAACACAATCTCCAAGAAGTCAACAGTTTTATTTCTTTATTTTCCTTTGTATATAAAATATATAATGGAAACAAAATGAAGCAATCTCGATAAAATACTCCAACTAAAATTTTCACTTTGTGATGAGCCTTATCTTTTTCCAGCCCTGCCCCACTGTATGATGCCTTGCACAAACCTCTTCTGTTTTAGGAGATTATGAACCACCAGTTTTATGATAGCGGCCACAGAAATGAGCACATCACCTGCTACACCAGCCTGAATCCAGCTGAAGGAAGCTCTGAGCCTGCATTCATGGCTGGTGCCACCCTGGGACAGCAGCCCTGGGCTGCAGGGAGCCTGGGCAATGTGCTGGGATGTGCTGGGATGTACTGGGATGTGCTGGGATATGCTGGGATATGCTGGGATATGCTGGGATGTGCTGGGGCTCAGCTCCAGAGATGGGAGTACAACTGGGGTGAGGGATGATTGAGTGTAAGAACAGCAGAAAGAGCCCTGGTAATGGGTGTGGGTGCAAAAGGTGAGCCAACACCTTCAGGGGGAAATGATGCCTCAGATTTTAGCTTTTCTATTTTTCAGATTCTGTGCTACTTCAGTGTGTACTTCTGAGTTCCATATTAGGGGATGGTGAGCTCTCTTCACAGAGCAGGCAGACAAAACAATTCCTTCTCTAGCTGGGGACCAAGGACAAATGATCCAAATCTCAGACCCAAGAGCACAAACAATGGTGGGCTGAAGAGAGAAAGACAAGAAGGGTGGGACTTGATAAGCCAAAGCTGGAATTGGACAATTCACTCCAAGGTGCAGATGGGCCAGAACTGATCAAAGTGAGAGACCTTGTGAGCGGTCGTCCATTCTGGGACCGTTCTGGGTCCATCTTGGGTGTGGGCCTGGCTGGGCTCTTGTGCTGCCCAAGGTGGATCCATTGAAGCCTTTTAGCCAATCCCTCCTTTATTCTGTAACTCTGTCCAGGCTCTGTTCTAGGCCAGCCTTCTCAGGGCATCAAACATGTGAGACAATCCCATCAGCTACAGCTCCTCAAGCCTTGCAACTCCTGTGGCCAAGCCACCACGAGGCCTTTGTCACTCTCTTCCTGGCACATCCACACTCACGCTTCCTGCAAACCTCCTCGTTGTTGTTGCTTGTTTTCTGCAGCCATGGCCTCTGAGTGTGCCCAGGGCTGCTCCCCTCTTCCTTTCTCTGTTGAAGGAAGGCATTGAGGATATCTCCCAGAGGCTGAGGCTGCTGGACTTGCCACAGGGCTGGGCACCACATGTGTCACCTGTCCCCTTTGTCATTTCCACTCACAACGGTCAGGAGTTGTCTGCTACTGTCTGGTTGCTGTCACTGGGCAGACAATAAATTTCTGATATTAATTCCTTAAAAACTAAACACCAAGCTGAGGATAAACTCCATTTCTCAGGCCCCGTGACAGGTTAAAAATTATTCTGTTAAAGCTTAGGTGTAAGATCACCTTTCAGCATCAGATACAGTTAAGCTTCAAACATGAACAGTTTGCATATTTATCAAATAGGTTCAGCAAGCATCTGTCAAAGAGACATGTGACATAATATTCCTTTTCCATGGGATGTGCACAGCTGCAGGACTCCTCTGGCCCCTGCAGAGCCCAGAAGAGATGCTGGGGGAGCACTCATCCTCTGCTTCCCTTTGCTGATATTCTCCCCTGTAAAAAAAAATAAAAATACACACACACACACACACACAAAAAAAAAAAAAAAAAAAAAAAAAAAGACCAAGACTGGCCAAAGCCATTTTTTTCCTCTAGTGAGATGTATTTCTGCAACCCACATTCCCTTCACTGAGAATTGTCCCATTAGTTCCACATGGCAAACCTGCCACAACTGCAGTCCCTGTGCTCCCAAAGAGAGGTGTTCTCCATCCTCCCACGTGCTGCCCTCCCAAAGCCTTGCCCCACATCTTGCCTTGGTGTTTGAAGTGGCCAGGTGGGAAAGAGTGAAATGGCAGCTCTTGGGTCATATGCAAATTGTATCTGGAGATGCAAACATTCTCTAAATAATTTACATGTGCTGTAACCCACAAATTGTATCTGGATATGCAAGTGTTCTCTAAATAATTTACATGAGCTGTAACCCACAAAACTGCCATGCAGGGAGAGAGGGAAAGGGAGCACAGGGCAAGGACCAAGGCTGTGCCAAAGAGATCTCCTTCCCTCTGCTCTGCTGTCCTGAAGGGCTGTGGGATCAGGATTCACAGCACACACAGAGAAGGAACAGGAGGCTATTTTTATTAGCATATCCAGAAAGGGTGTTTTTTGGTGGGTGCTGTAATTATTTTCCTTTCTGAACATAATTCAGCCCTTAACCTTTCTCTTTCTCTTGCTTTCTCTCCCTCTGTAGATATTGTCTTTATTGTCAGCTAATTAATGCCGTCATACTTTTATGTCAGCCAAAAAAAACCTCTCTGCAGCAATCTTAATGCAACCAACTGAATTTTATTCCATTTTGCTTCTTTCAGAAATGGCAAATGCTATGTTGTCTAAGAAATAAAAAGGGTAATTTCCTTTTTTTTTTTTCTATTTATTTTTGTCAGAGTATGGAATTTATAACTCTGGCTGAACAATGGCCCCCTGAGTGACAGAGACTCATTTCAGAGACAATTGTTGTTGTCCCAACTCTGTCACTGTGGCCACATCAAATCATTATCATGGCTGCAAGCCAAGGAAAGAAAAAAGAACCCTTTTTATTATTGTTTTTCTATCTGGTCTCTGTAACTTGGCAAAGTTCTTTCGAATGTGAATTTGCAAGTCTTAAATGCAACATATTATACTGTATTATTAACCTTGTGTTTTGTATCCCTTTGATATGATTCTTTTGCAAATGCTTGAAGTCTACACAGATCTATTGGGTAGCTTTAAATGCATTCTACAAAGAAACTTTAAATAATACAGATACTAAAAGGGCTTTTATTTTACCCAGAAATTCAGGCTGCTGGCACATACCAGCTTGAAGCAAAATGTTTTGTTTCTGTTCCACAAGTAATATTTTAACTTGTACTGATATTTTTCCTTCTTTTATTATTGTTATACAGCTCCCAAGGAAATGAATTTTTGTTTCAAATTAATTTTTGAATAAGATATGCAAATTTCTAGTGAATGTAAACATTAATTGTGTGTATTCTTTCTATTTAGGCACCTTTGTTACTAAAGTAACAGCTACAGATGCAGATGATCCAGTGTATGGAAATAGTGCCAAGCTGGTTTATAGCATTCTGGAAGGACAGCCTTACTTTTCTATTGAGCCCCATACAGGTAGGTGACTCTGAACAGCAACCTCTGGCTTAGGAAATCACTTCAGCTTGCTCCAGGGGAGGCTTAGATTGGGGCTTGGGGAAAATTTTGTCATGGGAAGGGTTGTGCAGTGCTGGCACAGCTGCCCAGGCAGTGGTGGGCAGTGCCCATCCTGGAGGGATTTAAAGCTGTGTGGATGTGGCACCTGGGGCCATGGACCAGGTGGGCTTGGCACTGCTGGGGAATGCTTGGGCTTGATGTTGCAGAGGCTTTTTCCAACTGGAGTAATTCTCTGGTTATATTTGCAGAGGTGACCATCCCCTGCCTCCTGTATCAGCAATGGTGTGGCCAGCAGGAGCAGGGAGGTCTTTGGTACTGGTGAGGTCACAGCTCGAGTGCTGTGTCCTGTTCTGGCCCCTCAGTTTGGGAAGGACATTGAGATGCTTGAACATGTCCAGAGAAGGCAAGAAGGCTGGCGAGAGGCTTGGAACACAAGTGCTGTGAGGAACAACTGAGGGAGCTGGGGTTGATTAGTTTGGAGAAAAGGAGACTCAGGGGTGACCTTATCACTCTCTACAGCTCCTGAAAGGTGGTTGTGCTCAGGTGGGGTTGGGTTCTTTCTCCAGGCAGCAGACACAACCAGAGGACACAGTCTCAAGCTGTGCCAGGGGCAATATCTGTTGGACATTACGAAAAAGTTTTTTACAGAATGAGTGATAAAGTTCTGGAGTGGCTGCTCAGGGAGGTGGTGGAGTCACCATCCCTGGATGTGTTTAATGAAGCTGAGATGTGGCACTGGGTGCCAGAGTTTAGTTGAGGTGTTGGGGCTGGGTTGGACTCGATCATCTTGAAGGTCTTTTCCAACCCAGTGATTCTGTGAATTCTGTAATTCTGTGTATCTCATCACCCAGGTGTAACTCAGATCTCACTTGTGTTCCTCAGAGTTTGATCTTGGGGAAAAACATCGGAAAAACAGGGATTAATAGTGATGGGGTGATGGTGATGGCAATGTCACAGAAGTTACTGGTGCAGCTGAAGGCAGAGGAGGAGCTGTGTGACAAAACTGCTCAGAGAATGCAGGGCTTGACCTGAGGGGTTTGAGGAGCATAATGTAATGTTCAACATCAGCCTACAGCATTCCCAGCTAAAGTACAGTTTAGCTTGGGAATTTAGTGAATATATTTCATGTTTTCATTGAAAATTCTTTTTCTTTCTTGATTGGTTGGATCAATTTGAGGAGAGAAAGAACATCAATCGTGAGTGTTGGTGTGAAGTTTTATTAGCATGTATTTAGGGTGACTTTATTTCTCTGTGGTTTTGTAGCCTTGAAAGTCATCTGAAAGAAGTGCCAATAAATCCATTCCCTCTTGTTTTCTGTACATAGGTTGTCCATACAGCTAATTCATTTAGTTCATTCTTTATGTGTAAAAAGCAAATTTTAATTTGATATTATATTTGATATTATATTTGATATTTTTATTTGATAATATTTCTAATATTCTGTCACCTGTTACTAGTGATCTCCTAAGGAGAAGAAAACTAAAACTCTTTTTAAAACATACATATATCTACCTGAATTTATACAGCTGTAAAGAAGTAAAACAGGAGTAAAAATTCCTGTCCTTGTGCAGAGTAACAAAACTATAAAAAAATGCTCAGAAAATTATTAAAGGATGATTTTGATAGATTAAGTGAACTAAGTTTTCTCATCAACATTAAACACAGTGCTCCTGTAAGCTTTAAAAGCTGGAATTTCTTGAAATCTTTCTGATGAAATTGCATGGAAAAATTATTTCCCATTCCTAGAAATGACCTAACTTTATAGGACTTTATGTAAATAGTGTGCATCAATAAATATTAATGGATTAGTCCAAAGTAGGTTTTTCTGGTTGAAGGACAGCTATCCTAAATGTGAAAGGGATCTCTGGAATGTGATTCAGCCTTTTACTTTTACACTGCATGTAAAATAGAGTTTTACAGAGAAAAATTCTAGCACAGTACAATGGCAAAAGAGCAGCTTGTTCCAAAAATAAGTGTGTTAAGAGAGTGTTTATTAGTGAAGGCCCTTGGTTCCTGTGGCTCATTTGTCACAATCAAATGGAAATGCAACTCTGAACAGACCTCTGGCCATCTCAAGTATCTAAATGTACTGTTTGGTTTCTTAAATATTACAAATTATTGCATACAGTAATGATTTGTGTGAGTTGTCTTAATAAGAAGGGAATTGGCTGTCAGGTTTTTCTCAGTTTCTACTTAGGAAAGTTAGTGCCTTAGCATGGGAACACATCAACTTCCTAAAGGAGCTGAGAAGTGCATTCTCCACCTACACAGATTTTCTTTCACAGAAAAATGGCCTGAAAGAAATATTCCAAATGTTAAAAATTGCTTCATTTTACTCATTTTTCTTATTTGCATTGCATTAAACCCTTATGATCAATCTAAAGAAGTAACTATTTCTCACCTAGGAAAGTGTTTGCTGTTATCACAAAAGCCAGAGAGAGCTCCAAAGCCTCTTGGTGAACCTGAAAATCAGGGTTTTGCTCCTGTTTTACTGGCATTAATTCCCCCTCCTTCCTTCATTTCCAGCTACAAATATTCCTTTGCAAAGCAGTTCAGTTACCATGAAAATAACATGTTAGTGTCTAAAGGGGAATTTATTGACAAAGAATTCAACTGTGGCCACAGTCCCTAAGTGGCTTCATCTAATGGAGCAGCTTCTGAGTGAATAAATGTTTTCATATGCCCCATTTTTCTAGATCTGTGGAGGACATAAATTATATTCTTTAATTCACTGCAACTGGCTGAGTTTCTGTGCTGAGGCTGTTCCCTGTTTCTTTGCCATCCCTGTGTAGTGCCCTTTATCTGTAGTGGAATCATCATCCTGCTCTCACCAAACAGCACACTTCTGTTTGTTTAGGGCATATAAAATATAAATATACATGAAAGTTTAATCATTAATCAAACCAGATGCAGGTAGTTTTGTAGAAACTGCAGCCACATACACAGGGTGAAAAAGATTGCTCTAAACCACAATGTCCAAAGCAAATACGAAGTGTGCGGATGTTTGTTTCTTTCTATTTGTCCAAACTTTGCAATGTGAACCATCACAACTCTCAGCAGCTAAGCCAGGAAAACACATTTTCTTGTAGTCCTCAGGACCCTCAGGGGAGATTTTCACGTGGGAAGCTGTTTAGATACTGTTGTGACAGTGTACAAATTAAAGCACAGCAGGTATAATAGTGTATCACACTAAACAAATCAAACCTGAGGATGATCCTCCAAGTGTGGTACATATTTTAGGGTCTGAGGGTTGTTTGGGATTTTTTTGGGGTGTGAGAGAGAATGTGGATGTGTGTATAGCTGCATTTTTTCTGTGGTTGTACTTCATTAGTGCCCTGATAAGTTGAAAGTCTTTTCAGTTAATTTGAAGCAGAATTGTTTCTGAACACAGATATTGTGTCTTCCCCTAAATGGAATCAGCATTTCAAGAAATGGGCTGAGAGCAATTCACTTCAGAATGTAAATATTTTCTGTCATTCATAGGAGTGTATCAAGTGTTATCAAAAGTATAGCTATTGAGAGCTGATCTGTTTACAGTTTTTCTAGATTACTGGCCTTTTATCCTGTTTCTTAGAAACCAAGAGTAAATGTGGATCTGTGCAGATACCTGCACCAGGGCAGTACTGCCTGTGATTTTTGATTTTCCTGGCTCAGAGGATTGTCTGACCTTCCTGCTTGGTTTTAAGGGCAGGTGGAGAGTGACCCATGAGGAATGATCCCAGCCATGAGGAATGATCCCAGCCATGCCTCCTGATTGCTCTGCCTCTGGAACCCTGAGAGCAAAAAGAGAGAGCAGAGGAGCAGGGCGTGGTTTGTGCCTGTGCTCAGGAGGGGCTGTCACACTTGAGGGGAAATGGGAGGGAAGCAGAGGTTTACCCTCCTGCATTTTGGAACCCACATTACTCAACCTCCTCACTGTAACAATTCTATAATGCTGGGCACTAAGAAACAAGTGCTGGTGAGTGACCCATGAAACAATAATTTCCCATTACCTGAGATGAAAAATGCATATATTGCTGCAGTTCCAGTTTGCAAGTTCTTCTGTAAGAGTTATAGACACATGAAAGGAGGTAATTTGGATGTTTTTTTACACTCAGTGCTCTGAATGGGGCTTAGGGTAAATGCTTTTTTGATGGCTTGTTCTGAATATTTTTTGCTTTTTGTAGGTGAATTTTATTATGTCCACTGCTTTGTTGGATAGAGGGAGGATATAATTAATACATGAAAAATATACAGATTTAGATTTCTTTCTGTGAGAGCCAAAACTTGCAATGTTATGGCATCAGATTAGTAACAAAACTCATGGTGGGCAGAAATATATTCCTTACATCATTATGGTTCCATCTCAGTAAGTGATGCCAGGCTCCCTGCCTGGTGTGTTTTATTTACAAAGGTACACAAGCTGTATGGATTCTCTCATAATCTGAATGATGACAATACAAATGCTGGGAAAGGGGATTCTCTAAGACTGCTAAAAGTAGCTGGAGTACACTTCTCACTTTTAAGCTTTTTCAAGGATATTAAATCATGACTGTCAGCTTTAAAAAAAGATTATCATAATGAAAAGTAACATGAAGTGACACTGTGTTTTACAATATAGGGATGGCAGAGGAAATACATTTTCAGCTGTGTCTGACTTATTTACATTTCACATGAACTTAAATAATGTCACTCCTACACATACCTGAAATGTAGTTATGTGAACAAGGCAAATTACTGCAAAGCCCTACTGCACTGGAAAGCACGTGGGATTAGTGGAGCACAAACAATTTGGCTGAAAAAAAACAGCTTTTAAGCAGTGCCATCCTGGATATGGGCATTTGGTACAAAGCCAAGGCTTAAGGAGGTGCAGCAGAGATGGATGGAAGAGTCAGCAGACCCAGAAAGAGGAAGCCTCTCCTAATAGAACATGGATATCTTTGGAGAGTGGATAATTGTGGGGTTTTCTCCTATACCTGGTT